GGCTGATCGCAGATGGCTCCCAACCCATTCAGAGTAAAACCCAGTTGCTGCCAATGGCTCCAAAGCCCCCTCTGCCTACTGTTCTTAATGCCCTTCACTCTGTTCTAATCTTGTTGGCCTGAGTCCATTTCTTCAACTATAACCTAAACTGTCCTGCCGCAAATCTTTGTTTAAACTCTTCCTTCTGCCTGGAATGTTGCTCATCTAGATGTCTTCTAGCTTCTTACACATCACCTTGGCAGAGAGACTTGGCCTGAACACCCTGATTGAAACTGGAGTCTGCCCCTTTAAAATGTGAGCCCCACAAACGCTGGGATTTTTTGTGCCCCAAACAGTACCTGTAAGTAAATATTTACTAAGTAAATTCATAGTTAACTCTTTTTTGGGATCACACATATTTTCACCAAGTTAAAGATAATACATTTTGAGGCCTCCCCTGGTGGCTCAGTGGTTGAGTGCTGGGCTGCGAAGCTGCCCGCAGCCTCTGCAGCACTGGTTCCATCCCCGGCGCAGGTGAGGGTCCCACATGGTGCACAGACCTCTCCTGCCACCCGCTGCTCCCCTCAACAGTGTATTTCATCACTCTGCTTGCTCTGCTCTCCCCTCTGGCTCTGGTGAATTCTCTCACCCTCCCGCGCTCTGACTGTACCCAGTGCTTGTATACATAAATCTTTTTTTCTTAAAAAAGTTAAAAAAAAATAATACATTTTTAATTTCAGGGTAACAATAACACTGTTGATAAAAAGGAATCCAGTCACACAAAATTCCAAATGGAATAATTATTCTCAAACTTCCTTCTCTCTGCATAACCAGGAATGTTTAACAAAGGCAAGATATATTTGTTCCTGTTTAATCCTACTCTTCCTGGGTCTATTTTTCTCGTTTATTCTTTCTAAATGATGTGGTTTCTCATTATCTTGTCTGGTTTATCCTACTGTAATACTAAGATGCTTTTGCTAGCTCAAATGCTTTCTTATGTTTACTCCAAATAGGGTAGAAGCCAAACAAAGAAATACACTATCTGTTGTGGGTCTCCCTGGTGACCTAGGGGTTGAGTCTCAGCGCTGTCACCTCTACGGCCTGAGTTCCATGCCTGGCCAGGGAGCTGAACCACATAGGGTGCAAAAGACCTCTCTTGTCTCACCTGCTGCTCCCCTCAGCAGCGGATTTCAGTCAATCTGCCTGTTCTATTCCCCACTCTGTCTCTAGTGAATCCTCTCACCCCCCCCACCCCCGCACCTCTTGCCTACACCCCAGTTCTTATACACAAAAAAGAAAATTCAAAAGAAAATACAGAAGCAGGAATGGGATGGCTTCACACATATGACATTATCAAGTTACTCTCTAGAAGGTTAGCACTTGGCCACTCCTTAAACTCCACCACCGTCCACCTCCCCTCAGGGTGCATTTATATCTTTTTCAACATGTTCCCTGATTCTCACAAGCTTTGGGGTAACAAGACCTGCATGCATTTTATGTCCACATCTCAGTTCATCACCTAACATTTCAGCACTTTTGCAACTCCCTGGGGTGGGCAGTGGAGAACAAAGATGGGCACCATGCAGGTGACAGGTCAATGGCCAGATTGGGGTGAGCTCAAAGAAGAGATGCAGCCTGGGCTCTGCTCAGCACAAGGTGTGCCTCAGCTTTCAGGCCACATAGCAGGAGTGGGATGAGGTGAAGGGGAATCCAGAAGCACTGGTTCACCCCTGGTTTAGGCTGCACAGTAGGGCACCCTTCTCCCTCCTGGCATCTTAAGACATCTGAGCTAGGGGAGCACTCATATGCTGATCTTGCTGGTAACCAAAGCCACTCAACTAGCACTGCTCTTAGGGCTCAGTTCAAACAAAAGAAAAACAGAAATTCTGAAGGAAGCAAACTAATAACGAGAAGCATTTTCTTCTCCCTGTTGACCAAGCTACATAAATACACTCCGTTGTATAAAAACACTAGGCTCTTGATGCTCCTACAATCTGAACTATTTGAGGATAAGGCCTGAGTAAACACAGTCTGGGCCTCACTTTATTCCAGTTCCACTCAGCAAATTGCAGCTGAACCTCCCAAAATGCCAGATGGAGAAAACAGAATACTCATGTTTTGATTCTTTTTACTCTTCTCTGTCTTCTTTTCAATTTCAGTTTTGCTTTGCCTTTCAGCTCTTTTGCTCCCAGGTTTGTATTGTCACCCCTGCCTCTGATTTTAAATTTTGGTTTGGATGAACTTACTTGATTCTGTCCTGGCATTTTTCCAATCCCCCTGCACACAAGACCGCAGCCACCTCTTGTAACCGATGCTGTGACTTTCTGCCTGCAGAAGAGGCTGCCCCAAAGGGTGGTGCCTGATTCCCTGGGGTCCCCGAGTCTCAAGGCTCCTTCTATACCTCCTGTTTGCTTACCATGGCAACAGCAGTTTGGGAAACACTTAATTGTTTACTATGAACTGGCAGGACATGGGTTACAGATGCTGAGGAGAAAATAGGAGCTATTTATACGCTGCACGAAGATGTGGCTTCCAAAGAGCATCAGTTGTGTGAACACCTACAAGGCACAAGAGGAACACAGACTCCTTCTTGTCATGGCACAGACACCCAATTAGAGATCAATACTCAGGACACAGAAATTTGATGTCAACCCCACACACTGGGAAATTGTCATTAATAGCTTTCAGCTCCACGATGTGGTCTAAGAGATGACTCATTGTTCTGGAGGCGTGACGGTGAAAGACAGATATAGCAGTGGTTCATCTAAAACTCCCCTTCCAGCTTGGGTGTTTTCAGACTCATAGTTAAGAAAAGTCTCAAGGGCCTCCGCGGTGGTGCAGCGGGTTGAGTGCAGCACTGTGAAGCTGTCCACTGCCTCTGCAGCAAGGGTTCAATTCCCGGCTGGCCAGGGAGATACCCACATGGCACGGCAGACCTCTCCTATCTCGCCCACTGCAACCCTCAACAGTGTTTTCGGTCCATCTGCCTGTTCTGCTCCCTGCTCTGTCTCTGGTGAATTCTCTCACCCTCCCGTGCCTCTGGCCTGTACCCCAGTTCTTGTATAACTAAATCAATCTTAAAAAAAAGGTATCTTGGGCCTCCCCAGTGGCGCAGCGGTTGAGCGCTGGATTGTGAAGCTGCCCGCAGCCTCTGCAGTGCCGGTTCGATCCCCGGCTGCTCCCCGGCCACTGGAGGAGGGTCCTACAAGGCGCACAGACCTCTCCTGCTGCCCGCTGCTCCCCTCAGCAGTGTACTTCGGTCCTTCTGCCTGCTCTGCTCCCCGCTCTGGCTCTGGTGAAGTCTCTCACCCTCCCGCGCTTCTGACTGTACCCAGTGCTTGTGTAAATAAATAAAAATAAATCTTTAAAAAAAAATTCTTTGAAAAAAAAAAAGTCTCTTGATACATCAAATGCATCCTGGGAGCCTGCCTCTGGCATCACAGGTAATGCTCAGTCTTCCCAAGTTGAAAAGGGTGTGTTCGTAGAAAGCTAACACTGAAGGCAGGAGAAGAAGGCCAGGCAAAAACAGCCTGCGGAGGCCTGCTGGTCTCAAACAGCTAATACACACAGACTGAAACCTGATCCTGAGAAGAATACTTTTACTTCTCTACCAGGAGTTGGTGTGAACAATAGATGTGCATACCGATGCCTTAATGCACACAGCTCTTTTTAGACTACACATGTTGCTTAAAGAGAATCAGTAAGTCGTAGTTAGAAAATTATGAAACACAAAAAAGGGGGCTCGATGACTTTCTACTCCAAAGTAAAATACCTGTTGCCCATGCTGCTTTGGAGTTCTAACTGTGGAGTTAGAAAAACCACAAAACTGCGATGTTACTTTAAGATGCAGGAATATTGGTGAGAATTCACAATTTCCTCCGCTGAAAGTCTCAGTGAATATAAGAGGGAAGTCACTGAATACTATGTCTTTCTATTACAGCCAAGTGATTTTCACAGTAGGCAATCTGCTGGGACACCACAGGAGTCCTACACTTTGAAATAAAATGGCATGGTGGATACAATTTGATGTGCAATCCGTTTTCAGTTCAAAGCATCGCCTAGTTTCCTTACTCTTGGCTGAATTAGGTGGCAATCCATAAAGAGTGAGTGAGAGGAGAAAAAGCACATGAGTTCTTTTTTGTCTTCATCGATAATATAATACAATTGCACTTTGCCAATCACAACATTGGTGAGTGCATCACACTTTGAAAATAAACTAAAAAAGGGATTTTTGCATTGCTAACGTGACAGAGTGCAAGACAAACCCTTTGCAGCAGGGGGCAAAAATCAGTCAATCTAGGTGGGTGCTGGCATGTTTTTCCTACACATCTGGTTCCATAATATGGTGCATGAGTCAGAAAAAACACTTCTTCCCATCCCCCTCTTCAAATGAGTTAATGAAATCTGTTCAGAAAGGACATTCTGCACAAGGCATCCTATGTGCTTAATTTTCTCTAAACAAGGCATTAACCAAATCACAGTATCATCTAATAAGATTTTTAATTCCTTGAGGGTAAGAGCCATGGCTGATCTTTAATGACTCTAATTTACTGAGTGCATATAGTTCCTTTCTTGGTAGGAACAACCAACAACATGTTCCTAGCCACCCATGAGATGTCTAGTAGGTTGTATTATGGAAGTTTCCAGAATGAAATGGTACTCAGACTGGGCAATGTGCCCGCACATGCTCAGTAAAGATTGATTTCCAGAGTGATTAGCAGTAGGAACTGATAGAAAGATTATCAAGGAGTGAAGGGGGAACTTCAGGAAGTTGATGCCCTTTTACTGCATAATGAGTCTCCATTTATGGTCACAGGGAGGAATTAGAGCAGATGCTGTACAGTTTCCGTTCCCAGAGAAACAGAGCTCCGAACACGAGCGTCTCTGCTAGCAGGACCTGTGCCAGATCTACAGCCACTGAAGGCTAGAATTTATTAAAAAAACAAAACAAGCAGAGGAAGCTTCTCTCCATTCTGTGAAAACTTAATGGTACAAACTTAAGGAAGAGTAGTAGCACTTACAAACTTCGGGGTCTGGAAATCAGGCTGATTTTCCAGTCCTCCAAAACTGGTGGCCATCGTCATGTTATTGTGTTCCAACCCTAAAAGGAGAGGGAAAAAGAAACACATGAAGCACAAACTTTTAAACATTTTTTGCTTTTAAATTAGCAGCATTGTCTTAGCAACTATATTTGGGTTCACGCCACACTGAGGGTGAGATTATTTAACACTTTCAGCTATGGATGATGCTCAAAATCCTCAGCCACGCGGCTGCTATGCGGGACAGCGCGGGATTAGAGGTTGAGGAACCGAATACAGATGGGGACTGGACTGTCTGCAACGAGATGTGTGGCTCTAGATCCTGATTTAAACAAGCCAGATTAAAAGACTTAAAAAGGAAATTCTGAACAGTAAGTGTGGAATTCTACTATAGTATGCTCTTTCATCGGCTGGGCAATGCCATGTTTGTAGGATGTTAAGTCTTAAAATGCTCTAGGTTAAACCTAGCTTGATAAATCACTTAGCTTCTCCACGGAGGGGCACAACAGCAAAATGTTACAAAACTCTAGCTCAGAACACACTGGCCTGCTGGTGTCTTCCCCACTCTGCCTCAGAGAACAGATATGGTAATTCTAGGGTATCAGTGTTCTGTTATCAATCTGCTGATTAGCTTTCTCTGATGAAGATATAGTGGGAGCCAAATGAAATTTTCTAGTAGATACATTAAGAAAATGAAAGAGAAGCAGGTAAAATTAATTTTAATCATTGGATCTATTCAGATTATCATTTGGACATGTATTCAATGTAAAAAATTACTAGTGGAGCATTTTACTTTTTTTTTTTTTTTTTGCAATAAGACTTGGAAATCCAGTGTCATATTCAGTGTTATATCCATGAATACATTATACTCAACACATCTCAATTCAGACTGGCCACATTTCAGTTCCTGACAGTCATGTGACTGGTGGCTGCTACACTAGACCTGGATGTTAGAGGAAGAAAAGCCAAATCCAGGAGGGGGTGCTTTGTGCAAGGCGAGATGTGTGGCTCTAGATGGGATCCTGGTTTAAATAAACTAGATTGGTTTAAAAAAAAAACCAGGCCTCCCTGGTGGTGCAGGGGGTTAAGATGCAGCACTATAAATCTATTGGCAGCCACTGCAGCATGAGTTCAATCCCCAGCCAGGGAGCTGACCCACATGGCGCAGCAGACCTCTCCTGTCTCTCCAGCTGCTCCCCTCAGCAGTGTATTTCAGTAGATCCACCTGTTCTGCTCCCCACTCTGTCTCTGGTGAATCCTCTCACCCACCCCACACTGCATCTCTGGCCTGCACCCCAGTTCTTATATGCATAAATAAATAAATCTTTAAAAAATAAGCCAGATTAAAAGACTTAGATAAGAAAATTTGAATATTAACTGTGGAATTCTACTAGAGAAGTATTAATATTGAAGAGTCTAAGAATGTAATTTTGGACATGACAGGATGTGATAATATTCTTAAATAAGTATAAATAAAGATAAAGTGATTTAACGAATTCAAATTTATTTACCAATCAGTCCAGACTCTTCAACAAGTCAATGACATCAGAAAGGCAGAGTATTAAAGATTTAAAGAACCCTAAAAAGAGAACATCTCTGAGCATGTTCTTTCCAACACCAGTGAAAAATTTACTCAATTCCAACACTCTTCCTAAGAGAGCAACAGAACCCACAGGTTAATGGCTGAGCTCCACCAGATTGCCCCTACTTCAGAGGCCAACAGCAAGTCCAGACTGTCCCCTGTGCTTCTGAATAACTTGCTGTAAATCAGATTCCACAACTCTGGTTGGGTTCAATGAATTTGCTAGAGTGTCTCACAGAAACACTTGCCAGTTTATTTTTTTATTTTTTAAAAGATTTATTTGTTTGTTTGTTTGTTTATGTAAGAACTGGGTTACAGGCCAGATGCACAGGAGGGTGAGAGGATTCACCAGAGACAGAGTGGGGAACAGAACAGGCAGACTGAAAAATACACTGCTGCGGGGAGGAGCGGGTGAGACAGGAGAGGTCTGCCGCGCCATGTGGGACCCTCGCCGGCCAGCCAGGATCGAACTGGCACCACAGAGGCTGTGGACAGCTTCACAACGCTGTGCTCAACTGCCTGCACCACCAGGGGAGGCCCACCAGTTTATTATACTGGGTATTATACAGATGACCAACCAGATGAAGAGGTACCTAGGGCAAGGTGTGTGGCACGGGCACACAGCCTCATGCCCTCTGCCAGTCTCCCCACATCACCAACCCAGATGTGCTCCAAACCACATACATCCCTTTGGGGTTTTTTCAGGAGACTGTATTATGTGAACACAATTCAATCATTGGCCGCTGGCAATTGATTCAACCTCCCAGGAGGTCTGGGTGGAAGGAGAAAAAGTTCCGCCTGTCAACACCAGATGTGTCACCATGTCAACTAGCCTCCCCCATCACTTTCCAAAAGTCACCTCATTCACACAACAAAGCCACCTCTATGGTTCTCACTGAGTAGGAAATTCCAAGGGTTTTAGGAGCTCTGTACCTGGACTGGACATGATAATATTATAAATCAAAATAGTAAAAAGACCATTAGCAATAAGTGGACTCAACTGCATCTGAGACCTATATCTTGGATAAAGCAGTCGTAAGGGCAAGTTCAGCAAAACTAGGGAGCATGAGAGTGGAACAGGCATTAAGTTTCATTAAGAAATGACTTTAATTATACAAAGTGTGATGCTATCTTGACTTTGTAGAGACTTTTGTAATGTGTGTGTTATACATATATATATATATATATATATATAAACTCATTAAAAACTTTTATGAAAGAATGAGTACCAATCTATGCAGAAAAACCCCCTTCTGTTACCCAAAAGAAAGCTGGGCAGGGGGCTCCCTGGTGGCACAAGGGGCTAGGTACAGCACTGGGAAGCTATCCACAGCCTCTGCAGCACGAGTTCAATCCCCCAGCCAGCCACAGAGGTGACCCACATGATGCAGCAGACCTCTCCTGACTTGCCCACTGCTCCCCTCAGCAGTGTGTTTCGGTAGATCTGCCTGTTCTGTTCCCAGCTCTGTCTCTGGTGAATCCTCTCACCCCCTGCACCTCTGGCCTGCACCCCAGTACTTGTGTGCATAGATAAACAAATCTTTAAAAAAAAATCTTTTTAAAAAAAAAAAAAAAGAAAGCTGGGCATTTGCAGGGGAGGTAAGAGATCTCCAAGTGAATCCTTAACAAAACCAGAAAAATCAGTCAACAGTTCAGTGGGTTACAAACACTTAGATTTGGCATGCTAATGACTGCATTAGACTTCCGGTTCATTCAGAAGCTAGAGGATAATACACTTACTCGTCAATTAAACCCATATCACTATACATCTATGAACTAAAAGCAAATGTCAGTCGAAATGATCGTGCAAACAAGTGACTTGAACGCTTTCACAAAACTGAGATCGTCCACTGTGAACCAAAGCAGAGAGAAGGACAGGTGAGGTGAGCCAGGGCTGGCAGAGCCACAACCAACACTGAAATTAAGGTACTTGCCTCCGAGAACTCCAGGAAGTCAACCACAATTACTAAACAGTTTGTTATCCTTCAAGAATTGCAATGTAATAAATTGGCTACTCTGACATCAGAACAACAATTGTCCAGTGTAATTATATTCTTACAGACCATCTTCAGAATTTGCTAAGATGTGCTTATGTACTAGGCTATTAGAAAATGTTTTAAATTGGGTTTTGCAGTTCATTTTATATTAGGAAGAACAGCCCTAACACTTCCATAGCATTAAAACAGATATTGAAATTATCTCAGCAGCATTTACGATACTCTTTTTCAGCAGAAATAGCAAGTCACGAAATAAAACTGCAGCTTTTTTTTAAATGAACAATGTACATCTGATGGAGTCACTTGGCTTTCTCATCATATCGGATTCCTTTAAAATCAGATGCCCAATTTATTATGTAGCTGGGTCAACAGATGGGATAGAGCTCTATCATTGTTGTTGTTTTTTTTTAATGAGAGGACAGGCTAAAGAAAATATGCATTTGCCTAAAGACTGAGGAGAAATAAGATATATTACCCAGATGTTCAATCAAATTAAAGGCATGTATACAGCTTGAAAGGATTTGTGAGAGAACATATAAAGCTATAGTTTTAGTTTATTCTGTTGGTAATAGAAACAAATGGATTTACTGGTTAATGTCAACACAAGAGAGAAACTATAAATTCAAGTGAATAAAAACAGAAATGACTTTTCTGAAACGTCATCAGCAGAACAAAGCTGCAGCTGTTGCTCTCACGACCTAATATAGTTTGGAGAAGTGATGATTTATGATGTTAATATGATAATTATACCTCCACTATGAGGGGCTCCAGATATGCTGGCTAGTCCCACTTCTGGTAATCTAAGACAGCTAAAAAAGTTCATTTTTCAGCAAAAACAAAATAGTCAAAATCAAACTGACATTTTGAAGGCTTCTTATTAAAACAGAGGCAGAGTCAGGGAAAATATTCAAAGGAGGCAAAAATGTTCATTTTATTTTTATTTTCTGATATCACTTTTAATATAATATCTTGAAATGTATTTCTGTATGATTGCCAGCCTCTCTTGGCAGAATAGAAGTATGACCTTGACTGGCACCACAAGTAGTCTATTCAGAACTTGGAATGTAAAAAGTGTTCAGAGCCTCTATGTTATCTGTTCATCAAAAAGCTGATTAGAAGGAAAAAGAGAAATACCAGAATGTCCCACTTACAGGGGGATACAGGAAAACAAAACAAAGGGTCAAGAAAAAGACACAACTTGCAGGCAAACCATAGACCTAAGACATTCTGTAGGTGAGGGGGTGGGGGAAGGGTCAGAACAAGGGAGGGAAGAGCACAAGGGACTATGGTGCTTGGTCATGGGTGATACGGTGGTGGGAGAAGTATGGGAACTACACCTGAGGGGAGAAATAAAATATTGTTCAGAAGTGAACAACAATATAAGAAAATAAATAAATGACTGAAAAACCAGCTATTCTGGTATGACGAGAAAAACTTCGGATATAACGTGTCAACATACCACAAAAAAGGCACAACTTTTGTC